ACACTCTTGTTCAAGGTGCCTCCCTGGCCATAGGGCATCTGTTGGGAGGAATGGGAGGTCTCTGTGTTAGCAGTGAAATAATGTGGTTGCCACTTTGTGTGGCCCCAAGAACAGATCACATCTGTTGATTTTTATGTATTTGGAGTTAGTGTCTTTAAAGAAATCAGGACTTTAGATTTTGCTGGACGTTGAAATGCTGAATACAAACACACCCAGAGAATTTGTTCAGATTCGAGACAAATTAAAAATCAGATTTATCTGCAGCTTTAGTTGGGTCCATTTACTGGAAGTCAGGTGCATATTACATTTTCTGTGGGAGAGCGCAGTTGTTTTAGACATTCTGCAGTATGATGCTAACTCAGTTCTCCTTTATCTCTCTCTCTATTATTATTATTATTTTTTTTTTTTTTGGCATCTCAGGGTTGTGATATAGTCTACTACACAATTCACCCCAACAGTCCATTTGTGTGACTAGGGAGCCAGTGCAGATGGTTGGTATGGTTGGTTCCTCCCAGGCCTGAGTAAGGGGGCAGCATGATATTGATGAGTTTGCAGTGACAATGTCTTACACTGTTAGAACTGTGAGAGCTCTAATAACAGATCCACCAACTCTGTTCCCAGAGCTCTTCTACAAGGAGCTGCTTGGAACCTAGTACATGAAATAGTGATGGAGGGTCACGTCCCAGGCAGCTGGCACCTGGGGCCAAGTCAAGCATTTATAGAGTGACTTTGACACCAGTTTCTCTCCAGCCTTTCCATGGAAACGTGCAGTATCCCGGAATGGTTAAGACAGACTTGGGTTTGAGCCTTGGCTGAGCCACTTACTAGCTGTGTAGTTTTGGCTGAGTTACTTAACCTCTCTGAACCTTGACATCCTGGAAGTTACAAGTCCAGGGACCTATCTTGGCTCTGCTACCGACAGGCTCTGGGATGATAAGGCCCCTAACAAGCTCTCTTTTAATTTCATGGTCCCTTCTTTATCCACTGAGAAACAAACTAAGCTGACTATGTTCTCAGGAGAGAAAACAGCTAGAAATGCCTACTCCTTTTGGTTTTTAAGGATTTGTTTCAGGCAGGGCCTTGCTGTGGCAGCCGGTCCTAACACTGCCTTTCCTCCTCTGATCACTCTCGGGGGCGGCTGCCATGGCAGGAGGGCTGGCCTGTGCATGGTTGTGCCTGTGCAGGGCTGAGGGACAGTGTCCCCAGCCTCCCAGACCACTTTGGGAGAAGGCCAGCGCTGAGGCTCCATCCTGTCCATTCCTGTGCCTTTTCATGACCCCTGCAGCCTTCCTCTTTAGCAGACCTGATTGACACGTGCATGTGTCTAGGGCACACACATGGAGAAGGAGGTCGGGGGATGTGTGAGAAAGTGGAGAGGAAAAGAGGAAGGGCAGGCAGCAGCAGCTAGATCGCTGGGAAAAGGGCCATAGCCGGGCCCTTTGGCCTTGGCCTTGTCAAAGCAGCATCCTAACATCCAGACCTGAGAGAGGCAGGCCAGAACCCAAGTCAGACACTAGGGAAGCCAGGAGCTGCCTGGGCCTCCCTCCCTCAGGCTCTCAGTGGCCCGGGCCTGGCCCGGGGCCAGCCTGTTACTGTCTGGCTGGGAACAAGCTGGTGAGTGCAGCTCCAGATAAGCGGCCATGGCTCCCTCAGTCCCCTGGAAAAGGGTGTGCTGTGGGCTGAGCAGCCCAGATGATGAGGAGAAGAGCGATGGCTCTGAGGTTATGGCATGTAAGATTTGGAAGCTGCCAAGTCATGCACACAAAGGTGTTTCTGGCCGAGTGATGTCCTTGGGAACAAAGGATCTTATGGGTAAGAGCACAGAAGAAGGTTTTGTCTTCCAGGCCCAGAACCTGCCTGCAAGCTCTCAGAACAGGCCTGATAAGAGCTCCCTGCCGGTTGGCTGAGAGAGGCCATCTGCCTTTTCCTCCCCTTGTAGTCCAAGCCCAGGAAAGGACCGGGACCTCCCTGCCCATTCAGGTTCCACGGCCAGGTCTGGCTCGTAACACCTCGAGGGGGTGCTCAGTGGAGAGGCGGGTCACAGAGAATCTGTTACCAACAATCACTACCAACATTTGGGAGAACTTTGCTTAAAAAAAAAAAAGGGTAAATTACAGTGCATTTGTCATGTCCACAGAAGGTCACTGCTACTGCCTCCCATGTCGGGGTGCTTCCTTAAGTGGGAGAGAAAGTGGGTTGGGTGCATGCAGGGCTTTGGAATGCACACAGCCCATGCTGGCCTACGAATGTGAAGAAGCAGGGGATCCAAACCGTTTGAAGTGCGAGGAGTAGGGTCGTGATCCCAGGACTGTGCACAGACTCCTCTCCATCAGGGACCCACTAGTAACCCTGTTTCCCAACTGTAAACTCTTACAAATCATTCAAGATGCAACATGGAAGTCCAGTCTCTGTCCAACTTCTGCCTTCTAGTCCAGGCAGAGTCAGTCACGGGTGTCACCTAGTGTCCCTGGAGCCCCTCATTCGCGGCTCTGCAGGGCACTTAGCACACCATGGTATTACCACAATGACTACACAGCCCATGATTTTAACTGCATTCCTGCTTTCAGGTACTTTGTTATGTGGGTCCCATCAATTCTTACATTATGGAAATTTTGGCCTTGACGGATGTTCCCCCTCAGAGAAATCCTTCGTCAGATCTGACGTGCCGATTTTGGGGAATAGAACTGGTAGACACTGGATAGATCCTTGTGCATTCATGCATCTGCCACCTCCCCCAGACTGAGTTCCTAGAGGTCAGAACCAGAGTTTTCACCGGCTCCCCCAAGCCTGGCTCCGTGACCGGTACAGAGTAGGTGCGCATCCGTGGTTGGCTGCCCCACGTGACATAATATCTCATGCCTAATTGCACTGAGTTTCCACAACAACCCTGCAGTATTCTAATTCCTGTCCCCATTTTACAGAGGGGAAAATTGTGGCTCAGGGGAGCTAAGTAACTTCCTCACAAGCAAACCACTACTAAGAGGTGGATGCAAACCTAGGTCTTTTCTTTTCAAGATTTTATTTATTTGACAGAGAGAGAAAACAAGCAGGGGGAGCGGCAGGCAGAGGGAGAGGGAGAAGCAGACTCCCCACTGAGCAAGGAGCCCGATGCGGGGCTCCATCCCAGGATCCTGGGATCATGACCTGAGCCGAAGGCAAACGCTCAACCAACTGAGCCACCCAGGTGACCCAACCTAGGTCTTTCTTCCTATACTATATACCTTTCAGCTCAGTTCAAGCTCAGGGATGTCCTGAAATCATTGACTCAGAAACCAGAGATGTTTAAGCAAGAGGAGGTCTTTTGGGTAACCACTGAGGTCTGCCAGACGTTAGGAGTATGACATTCAGTGGGGTCTTCATTTGGTGCCCAAGGGCACGTTTTACCCTCTGGGCGTTCTGTTGAGACATATTAGCACACTCTGCCCTCTCTTTTGGAGCTTCTGATTTAAAACAGACATATGTACAGATGAGCCAGTCATCTGCTGTAGAATGCCAGCACTAAAAAGGGACTGTTTATTTATTTCAATCTCCTTGCTTTAAGATAAAGAAACCAAAACGGAAGGAAACTGAGAGCTACCAAGTATTGAGTGGCCCAGTGCCACTCCAGACACATTTTTTTTTTCAGTATTTCATCTCATCTTTGGGTAGGCATTATTTTAATCTATCCCTAACTGACAGATTGAAACAGAGGAAATGCAGGCTCTGCAAGGTGACTTGCCTAATATCCCAGAGCTAATCAGTAGGGGAATCAGAATTTGACTCCAGGTCAGTCTGTTCAGAGCATATGTTCTCAACCCGCAGACCCAGTAGAGGGCCTTCCTGTGAGGTGTGAGGTGCTGTAGGCAGATGCTCCCTGCATTGGACCTGCAAACAGGGTTGCCCTTCCTTGTCTTTTGCACGGGCCACCCCCTTTCTGGAATTAGCAAGAAGCTGCTCTTCCCAGTACTGGTGGTTATTTTCAGAATTGTGAAATAAGTGTAAAACAGGATATTTTCAGTAAAAATATCTCCCTGCTTATACAACGAAGTGGTACCAAAATCACTGACTTGGAGCAGATATGTGGTTAGTTTCTGCAAAGATCAATCCAGTTCTCATCTGACAGCCCATCTGGAAGGCTCACAGGGCCCTGGATGAATGAGAGGCTGAGCTTCAGGGGGCTGGACTCCCCCCCCGAGAGTTCCAGAGCGCAGAGGAGTCAGCCCTAGATTTAAAGTGTAAAGGCCTGAATTCAAATCCAGCCTGAGGACCCTAAGCCTGTGAGCAAGTTACTCTTCTTTTCAGTTAACCTTCCACAAGGAGCTGCAGGGGTTAGTGATACAGTATCCATGAAAGTGCCCAATGCTGGTACTCTGGTCAAGCTTCGGAACATACCAGTAACCCTGTTCCTCCCCCATAATGATGTTCTGAGAATTACCATATTTTAAGATGAACCGTGTATTTAAGAGTATTTGGAATTGTCACTGAAAAGTCGAGACAGCAGCAGACTAGAAAATGTGTGGGCTTCAGAAAGTACTCCTTCCCATCCCCCAGCCACTACACTGTGTTTTTCATACTTTTGCCATAATAACACTTTCTTTTCCTTCGGCTTCTTGTTTCTTTGGTGAGCATTTACCGATTGCCAGATCTGTGCCAGGCATGGTACAAGAGCAGGAGTTTGCAGGAGAGACATCCTGCTTGCCAACACAGAGCATCTCAGCAGAGCCCAGAAAACTACAGGCCTGGGGCTCGTTCCCATCAGAAGCCAGAGAACATTTGTTCTCTTCTGAGACTCCCCATTTCCTGGTTCTACCTTGGAGCATCCATCTAAGGAATGTGGGCCCCCCCCTCACCGCACCGGCTGCCGAGGCTGGGCCCAAGGGATCCCTGGGGGATTGCGCAAGTCTCTTGGCCTGGCTTCAACTCACTGTGGCTTTTCCCCCACTTGTGGTCTTAGCCAAGGGAAGCCTGGCGCCTGGCTCTGAGGCCCCAGATGGAGCCAGCTCCCTCCCGGAAGGACTTACCCGATGGCTTGTCTGTGGAGGATGGGAGGCTGGTGAGGGTAGGCATAGTGGGCAGAGGGGGAGGCAGCACCTTCAGGTTCTGATCACTCTGGATCTCGTTGGTAGAGATCTGATTGATGATGCGGCTGTAGGGGGGCGGCTGGTAGACCCGGGGCGGGGTGGCGGGGGGCGGCTGGGGCACGGGCCTGGCCGCCGGCACCCGCTGGCAGTGCTCCTCGAGCTGCGCGATGATCTCGGACTGGTTGTGGGCCAGCGTGGCCAGGTGCTGGTACTTGTGCTCCAGGTCCTTGTACTTGCTGGCCAGCTGCAGCATGTCGGCCGTCTGATTGAGGATCCGGTTCTCCAGCTGGGAGAGCTCCAGCGCGTTGTCCCGCTTGCGGATGATCTCGTGCAGGAGCTGCATGTAGAGCTGCGTGACCCGCGAGTTCATGTTGCGGCTCTCCTTGCGCAGCAGCTTCACCTCGCTCACGATGCCACCATCCACCTCCACCAGCTGCTGCAGCGTCTCGATCTGCCGCTTTTGCTTGAGCAGCTCGCTGTTGAGCAGCTCCAGCTCCTGCTTGTGCACCCGGTTCTCCAGGAGCACCTCGGGCTCCTTGGAGTTGACGCAGATGGCGCCCGTGACCCGCTGCTGGGGCACAATGAAGGTGTAGGTGCACTTGTCCGAAGACTCGCCGGCCCGCTTGTACCTGTTCAGGTAAATGAACTCGCTGGGCGAGCCCTCCTCGGCGCCCTCCAAGCCTTCCTTCTGGCCTGCAGCTGCTCCCACGGCAGCCAGCAGTCCCAGCCACCAGTATGTCACGCACAGCGGCCTCATGGTCCTTGCAAAATGGTGGTTCCTCTTGGCAAACGGAGCCTAGGAAAACCTGAAAGTAAACAGAAGGGAGAGTCAGGAACGGTGTTGTCACTGCCAGCGGCCTGTGCCATAAATGAGCTCAGCCTTCTCGCCAGGCAGATCTTTCCAAAAATGCAGCTTCAGGAGGCAGCCCTTCTGGACGCCGCAGAAGGAGACAGGCAGGCCTCAGCAGAGGTAGAGAGGAAACGGGAGGGGACCAGGGCATCTGAAGGCAGGAGGCCACAGCCCTGCCACTCCCGGAGCCAGCCCGAAAGCCCAGCTCCCTCGCCGAGCTCCTGGCCCAAGCCTGAGAACCACACGAGGGCAGCTCGAAGCTGGGGCAGGGAGGCAGAGGGAGGCTCGTCCGGTCTCCCTTCTCTACCTCATGCCTCCCCCACCGACCCCCGTCTCCTCGTTCTACACGTTCATAACCCCCTGGGCTTTCCCGGTGTAGCACCCATCACAGTTGTAGTGCATAGGGGTTCTGTGTGATCTCTGCTACTGGACTCCACACTCCATGAGGGCAGGCGCTGTGGCTGATTCCATCCTGTGTCCCCAGGATGCTGCACTAAGCAGGCTTTCAGCAAATGTTTGTTAAACGCTTGAATCACTGGACACGGTATGGAATGTGTTCAGTTGGTAGTGGACAGTGTCAATGGGAGGAGTGTCCAGCCCCATGGCTTTGGTCTGTGTGTTAGAGACAAGCTAAAGAGCCCAAACAGGAACAAACAACTGAGCTCTTCTAAATCCAAATATTTGCAATAGCCAGTAACTGCAAGGTCCTGGTCACTGCAATGTGATTAAAGCCGGTGGAAGCGGAAAACAGACATGTGTCTCTGGATTTGTTTCACTTCTGCTCTTGGACCATTTGTTCCTTCACCAGATATCCATCAAACATCTGTGGTATGCCAGGCAGCATGCTGGCTGCTGGAGGTCCAGCCCCAAACAGGCCAGAGCCAGCCCTGCCCTCACAGGGCTCGCGCACCATGGCCCAGCCCCTAAGAGCCATGGAGCAGCAGTAACATATGCTGCGAAAGGATAGAGCAGGGAACTGACATAATCGGACGATTCGAGAAAGCTTCCCTGAGAAAGTGACCTTTACACTGACCCCTTGAGGGATGAGCAGGAGTTAGCCGGGCCAAGAAGGAGGGGACGACATGCACAGATCCCTCCTCTCGCCTACTCAAGGACATCGCTCCAGCAGTTCTCCCCCATCTCTCCTGTGTGATCACATTGTTCCTACAGTCATGCTGTTATTTCTCTCAACCTAAAGAAAATCAGTCCTCTCTTGATCTCACATCCCCCTCTCCAGCTACTGTTCCGTTTCTCTGGTCCCGCTTTTAGCAAAACCCTCCAAAGGGTTGTCTGTACTCAGTTTCCAGAAAGTCCCTCTCTTTCTGTTCTTCTTGAGCCCACTCCCATCAGGCCTGGCCCCTCCCCTCCACTCCCAGTGCTTTGGACAGGATCACCAGTGGCCTCACTTGCCAGGCCAAATGACCTGTTCTTAGTCCTCATCAGTACTTGCCTCTCCACACTGGGTGATGTGGTCAATCAATCCCTCCTTGGACTTCCTTTCCTGAAGATCACCCTTTCCTTCCTTTTCACTGGCTGCCCTTTCTGTCTCCTTTGCTGGTTCTTCCTCCTGTTCCTGTCCTGGGGGACCCAGAGCTCAGTCCTCAGACCTCTTGTTTACCTCAGTGATCTCATTTGGCTTTGTGGACTCCTCTCTTTCTTTCATACCCCGCATCTAATTCACCACCAAATTGTAAGAGCAATATCCTGGACGTATTCTCAGAATCCCACTGCTGCTCCCCACCTCTCCTGCACCCTGGTACAACCCACCTCCGCCTCTCACCTGGACCTCACTGTCTGCTGCTGGACCTGCTCCTGCCCTTTGTCCTCAACCCAGCAGCCAGAGTGATCCTTTTTAAAAAGTCCGATCCTCTGCTCCGAATCCTCTGGGAGCCCCGTCATCTCCAAGAAAAAGCTTAGAAGGCGTTTCTGGCTTTCCCGGACCTGGCTCCCCTTCCTCCCTGGCCTCATCTCTGACTCCCCTCATCCCCCTGCTCATGCCACTGCAGCCACCCCAGCTCCTGGGTGGTCCTTATGCTTGCCAAGCACGCTTAGGACTCAGGACCTTTGTACACTGTTCCCTGTCTACACTCTTAACCCCTTTCCTCATCGCTCACTCCCTCACCTCTTCAAGGTCTTTGCTGAGATATCACCTTCCCAGTGAGGCCCACCCTGATTATTTAAAATGGTAACCTCCCCACATTGTCAGCAGATGTAGAATGTTTCCCCACCCCATCCCATGAATGGAGTTGCCACGAGGGCAGGGGGTTGTCTGCTCCATTTGCAATGCCAAGCACGTGGCCTGGAATGTGCAGGCACTCCATCAATATTTCTGGCCTGAGTGAAAAGGCACACCTGACAGTGGCTGCCCCGCGGGTGGGAGGACTACAGAGAGGCAGGGCCAGGGGGCCCGTGAAGGTGATTGCCTGAGGGGGTGCCAGGTATACGGGAGGAGGCCCTTTCTTTCCTTCCTTCCTTCCTTCCTTCCTTCCTTCCTTCCTTCCTTCCTTCCTTTTCATTCATTCATTCATTCATTCTTTTTTTTTTTTTAAGATTTTATTTGAGAGAGAGACAGCATGAGCAGGGAGGGGGCAGAGGGAGAAGCAGACTCCCCGCCAAGCTGGGAGCCTGACACGGGGCTTTATGCCAGGACCCCAGGATCATGACCTGAGCTGAAGGCAGACGCCTAACCAACTGAGCCACCCAGGCGCCCTGGAGGCCGTGTCTTATACTTACCAATAACATCCATAGAATCTATTTACTGAGAACCCACTATGTACCTGCCCCTGCACAAAACATTTGCAAGTATTTTCTACTTTAATGTATTCTCACAAGGTAGATGCTGTTAAGATTCTGTTGTCATTTCCATTTTACAGATGAGGTAACTGAGACTCAGAGAGGCTAAGTGAATTGCCTAAGATCACAGAGCTGGGAGGTGGCAGAACCAGGGATAATTGGAGGGCTCAGGAAAGCTTCTCTCATCTGATCTCATGTAGTCCAGCCTTCAAACTCTTACTGACTACCCAGAAATGTACTTAATCTGGTCTTTAGTACTAAAAAAAGGATTAGCATGATCACTTTCTGACTTCACGTTAATTTATGCTAAAATCAGCCTGACACAGAGCTGAAGGTTATGTCTTCCCCAGGCCCCTCTGGGGCTTCTTTGGTGAGCAGCCTAGGTTCGGGTACCCCAGCTGGTGGGCTGTTACAGAACAGACCCTGGGCTCCCCAGAGCCACTCAGAACTGTTTTCTGCTTCAGTGAGGAAGCCTAAGCGTGATTCCGTGGCCAGCTCAGGCTTTGGGGCCAGGCAGAGAAAGGTGTTCGGCAGCCTTTGGTCTGGGTTGGGCTACGAGGTAGGGCTGCAGTGACGTTTACTGGAAACCGGGCTGAGTTTGTGAGTGTTTGCCTGGTTTCCACAGTGCTCTGGCTGCTTCTGCACCAGCCCGTGGCCACGCCTGGCCCAGAACAATGTGGAGGAGCAGCACTGCAGGCCAGGGCGGGCAGGCCCTTGTCTTCCCACCGGCGCTCACCTGCTGGTGACAAACACCTCGCTGTGCTCCGAGTGCCGGTGCGGGTGCTGCTGCGCTCCTCTGCCTTGGCCAAGAAACCGCCAGCGGCCCAGGGAGGCAACCTGGCTCCAGAAAAGGGTTGGCTTCCAAACCTTCCCAGGCCTCAAGACCTGGCAAGGTGTCACTGTTTATCACTGAGTCCTGTCCCCTCCCACAAGTGGGCTCTCGAGCTTCCTGAGCAAAGCCTGTGCCCTTGGACTTGCCATCCTGAAGGCTGAGCCTCTTGTGTGAAACGGTGCAATCCCACCCACCTTGCACACTACTTAAGGGACAGAGAAATGCTTCCCAAATTAGAGATGGCAATAACACGACAGCGGCACGATGGCAGACAGCAAAGCGGGACTTAGGAGCGCTGACCACGCCTCCCTGCGGAGAGACCACAGTTAATGCTCCTCCCCTGTTTCTCAGAGGAGGCTCTTGTGCTGGCTCACTTGAGCCGGGCCCTGAGCAGGAGTTCTGTCTGGCCTCACCGCCCAGCCCTAAAGCTGCCCTCTGGTCAAACTGGATTCCGGCTGCCCTGCCGTCCCTGGATCTTACACAGTGCTGGGCAAGAGATGGGCAGACGCAGCGCAGGGCCGTGCTGTCTCGAAAGAACATTTCTCGTGATTGTTCAATTAAAAAGAACACCAAACTTGATAATTAACACTCATACAGGTTTTCAGGTTCACAAAGCCCTGCATATGCATTATCTCATTTAATCATCGCAACATTAAGAGCTAGTTAGTTGTGTTGTGCTGTTTGGAGGGTGAGAAAATTGCAGCTCCAGAGAGTGTCTGGTATCTCGCTCGAGATGGCATTGCCGTGGTGCCACCGGTTGTGAGGCTCGCGATTCTGGGACTTCCTGTTGTGTTTCCCTGGGGTCTGGGCTTGGCGGGAGTGACTTGGGGCTGAGTGGGTTATAGAAGGAAGGGAAGGAGCAGGGCCCTGTGCGGGGTGCCTGACACACACTGTCGTAGGTGCTTTAGCCAGGTGGTTGTTCCCCACTTCTACTTTGTAACTGGGGACACTGAATCCCAGACAGGCTAAGTGACTTGCCCAGGAGCATGGAGCAGATAAGAACTAGAGCTGACCCAGCTGAGAGCTCAGGTCAGCCTGACACCAAGGGCTGGACTCTTTGCACTGTCCTTGGCTTTGGAGTCATTTATTTTCCTTAAAGATTCTAACCCCCTTCTTCAGTTTTCTGCTACTTTGGCAGCTCGTAATGGGCAGTAATGAGTTTGTTTACTTTTGTTCTCTTGATATTTATGCAACTAATTGCACCCCAAGAGGAGTAACCCTCCCCAGCATTCCAGCCATCTTAGGCCTGGAGAAGAACTCCATTGCAATCAAAGCGGTGCTCCTCAGTTTCTTCCTCTGACCAACAAAGAAAAGCAACTCCAACTGTTTTC